AAACAACGAATATAAGGGCGACAAATGCTCCCTAGATAATTAGGAATAAAGGACGGTAAAAGACGCCGTAAAATCAGGTCATGTAAGAGTTATGCGCTTATCAGCAAATTTTGAGATTCACAGCAATTACAAGAAAAGGGCAAGACAGCTGTAGAGAAAAAATTATTTGACATACTTTACCGTCTGCACCGCAACTGGCAAAGAATTTCCCACTAGGAGCATAACGCACACACTGGGCAAACCTGGTATGATTGTGGAAATAGGTTTTGAACTTGAACGGTGGGCCTTCAAAAATGGCTACTGAATTGTCTTCAGATGCTGTAACAATACGCAGAGGGCGGACAGGTCGAAAATCTGCCGAATTAATAGATTTCGTCTGTCCTGAAAGATTGCCGTTGCTGGTGCCGGTATCAAAAAGGAACACGTGACCAAACCTATAATTTGAGTTTTATATATGCAGTTCTAAACCAGTACTGCACAACGGTGCAGCTCTTCAATTCTGAAACTCATGGGGGGTCGAGCATGAGAGCAACAAATTAAACGATATAAGGCTGAAAATCATGTTTAATACAAAGTTTTGATATGGTTAAAGCTGTATTCTTTTTTAGCGTGAGAAAAAGAAAAACATGTTAAAATTGCATGAAGACCAAATTTAACAACAGCGACCTAGGAACAAGAATCAAATGAAAACGACGAAGAGAACGGAAGTTTAAGAAAATATGAAATTACTTGGGTAATTTCTAGAACGATAACTTCCTGCCAGGTAAAGAGCGATGGTAGTTGATCATAAATACAATCGCCACCACTGGCTTTAGTGAATAGCAATTCAAGTATTAATTGCTACTGCTTGGTCAGATCAATTAAAACTCTCAAGCTTAAGCGGATTTAAGAATGTGTGCTACAATTCATATCGTGCATAGCCACCGTTTCCAGCAATTAAAAATTGCTGCACTAAGGAAATTCATTCGAACAGCATCAATAAAACGTAATTAAAAGCATGATGGCAAATAAAGTAGTAAATTAGTGTTTCGTGGTATTAGTTTCTTGATTCGAGTTTTAAGCTTCAACTGAGCTTGCATTCAATCGTAAGAGCAGCGCTTAGCTTTCGTAATTTACAGCCCGCTGGACCATTTATCTGTATTCTTTGCTTTAAAGTCAGGTCACATACCGAAAGAGAGCCGTTCAACCAACGCTATGTATACTATTCAAAATAAGTTAAGATCTGATTGTTTGCCCCTCTTATCGACTTTGCTCTGTTAAACCTTTACTCGCTGAAGGTGTAATAAGATTTCAATGGAGGGTATTCTACTTCATTAATTAGTAACAACTCACACCAGTCAAAATATGATAGCAGAAACGGTAAACCCGTCTCCATCAAATGGTCATATCAAGCTATGTTGCTTAATTTTAATTTAGTTTATAAAAATTGCCATTCGAATTTCATTTCAAATACTCGCACTCACCTGTCTCTGCCTTCACCCACAACAGCTAACCTCTGACTGTCAGGTGACCAAGTAATGTCACGAATCGGGCCACTGAGGAATTGATATTCACTTTTGAGAAGATGTTCCTTTTGAGTTGTGTCCCATATTCGAATTTTACCCGACTTATCTAGAAAAACAAAATTTCATTGAAAACTGCTTATGCCAGGCCCGTAAAAAAAACAATTTCTCCCAAATATTTTCCCATGCTAACATACACAAAAGTTCAACATGAGGTAACATCATAACAAGAATAAACACACCTATCTTAAGTGCAAGAACCATATATGTGGAAAAGAAAACTATTTTTTTGTTAGTCGACCTGTAGAAAAAGTATAGAGAAAAGATTCTCTAAACTGAACCTCAATCCAGTTGTTTACTGTCCGTATGTTTCTAGAATCTACTATTTGATGAATTGAAAAGAAAAGCTTAGAAACTTGGTCATCTACCAACGCTGCAAGCTCCTGAAGTTATTCTAAGAAATAATCGCCACGGATGTTCAAAATAATTTAATTGACCTGATCTCCGCTTGTCCCTGGTCACCAACTATGCGGCGTAGGAAAGGAGACTGTCTTTCAACACTGCTGCAAAATAATGCTCAGTCCAAACCACAGCTATTCATTCTACACAAGAGACAGCACACAAACTAATGTACCTCAAACTGCCTTGTCCTTGAGTCTCGTATTCTCGCATCCAGTAGTCCTCTAAAGGAACCACGACTATATACTAGTAACAATGACCCTCATGACCATATACGAAGACATGTGCGTAGACCGATTTCGTCTACACAGTAATTACGGGGTAAGCAGCTGAGGAAACAAAGAGCATTCTTCTTCCTCTATTTCTTACTTTGTTTATCTTTCCAGTATATTACACTGAATAGGGGACTGCAGGACTAATAGACTACCACATTCTCTGAACTATTACTAACTCTTCGGTTACCTCGCGTAGCTTTACAACGTTTTCTAGATACGGTTCATCTTGTTTAACCGAACCAATGTTTTTATGGAGTTCAACTGTTCCTTGTCTTCTCAAAGTGTTGCTACATTCAGACCCACACAGCAGAACAGGCCTGGCCTACCATTTTCCCCTTACCTTGCCATTTAGTATGATGGACATTTTTTTACCAAGAAACATGACGCTCACATATCACTAATAAAATTGAACTTTTTTCCTCGAATTTTTAACTCGATGCTCATATTCCGCTGTCTTACATGGTAAAACGAAAACAGTTCAGGGAAATGCATCTCTTTTCTCATCGAATCATCGGAATTTTCTCGCTATTCTAATAAAACACTTAGCTATGTATTCTCTCGTCATATTCTTGGACGGAAAACGCCTTTTAATATTTCTACTTAAATTTTCGTTAACGCCTTCTCTGCAACATGTGCTACTTCCTGCAGCATTTTAAGTACGCGTCCATCACAACCATCGCATACGAAAATTGACTGAATGTTGATATGCTTCTTGACGAACCTTGTCTGAAAACAGAATTCTCCTATTTCGCTACAGGCACTTCTAACTTCATCGTAAACACCTTTGTTCAGCCTAAAATGCTCCACTGGTAACTGCTTCTTTCTCATGTTTTTATGTCCCATAGTAAGCCTTTTCATGATGCATGAAAACTACGCCGATACCCCTGCTTCATTCATCACATGCTTCGAACGACCATACATATTTACTATTCTTAGTAAGCGTTTTTCTACTAACCAGGTTACGTGATGCTCTGACAGTAAGCCCTTGCTCATAGATTCTTAGGAAACTTTTCATCCACACAGACTGAATATTATTTTGGCACATTTAGGACTGGATGCATCACACAATTACCAATTTTTTGGCTAGACCAACGTTTGTTCACTGTCACTAATACTTAGAACTTTTCTACTGTCATGGGCTTAAGCAGCAATTTTTTAACAATGTACAAAATTGTTAATTTTTCATATTAATTATTCTTCTAGGAAACTCACCCCCAGAAGCAGCGTAGAATCCACTTGGCGCATACTTAGCAACAGTTGTCAGCGTAGGATGCTCCGTGTACACATCACAAACAGTTGGATTCTAGAAGAAAAAATTCAATAACGTTTCTAAGCAACCGCTGAATTCAAATTTAATTCCGACAAAAAATGAAAACATACGAATATCCTGTTATTACGTAATTTTATTGATCTAAAGTGTTTATGTACCGTATAACAAACTGATATCGCTATCAATAGGTGATTATGAGGAAAACAAAAAAGGTCAGTTCGTAAACGCTGGGATGTCCATCTGCCTAGCATTTTCATGAATGGGGGCCATTTGTGGCACCCTTTATTTACGAAGCTGATAATGCAAGAACATATGCGTTTCAGTGACATCAGTCAGAAGTGTCGTACTACGTTTATTGTCGGGATCTACACACATGAATAACGACGAGTCGAAAAAAGCAAAACAAAAGTTTGTAATTGTTGAAATGGCAGTCTTCCTTAACTTTCATGATGCGGCCATTTATAGTGTTTTTGTTAAGTTAATGGGGGGGGGGCGCTGATCTCCATCTTCATATCATCGGTAGGAACATAACATTTT